GTGCTGGGCTCTGTGGCAGTGCTGCCAGTGTGGCTCAGGGGGTTCAGCAGCACAGGAGCCGTGCCATGGCACCCTCTGGGTGGCTCCAGGGAGGGAGGCTGGCAGAGGAAGCAGATGGAATCCCTGCACATGCTGTGATACCCACGAAAGCAGCTTATCTAAGGCCTGCACATTGTTCTGGGGACACGTTTTGTGTCCCAGGATGAGCTGGCAGCACTGATGGGAGGCTGGGAGTGTAACCACACTGTAGGAACAGTGGCAGTGGCTCAGTCCTGCTCCTCTGAATTGTGATGAATAAATTCACCTTCTTTCCAGGGATAAGAGATGAGAGTTCCTTTGTAGAGGTCTCTTTTGGGTGAAGCAGGGAGTTGTATTAACTGTTAGCTACTCTGTATTTTATGTAACTGAGTCAATCGTTTAATCTGGGCAACTTCAACAAAACCCTACAGCATTATTTGATATTCACTTTCTGCTCTAAACTGTTGTGCTGAGCAAGCTAAAAATGCTTATATTTTACACTGTCCTGTCTCTTTTTCATTCCATATGAAGTACTTTCTATGCAATGTATTGCTTGTAAATCAAGCTCTAATGAGCTCTTGGATCTCTTCAGATGAAAAGTGTCATATAAATGTCATAATCATATTCATAGAGGGTTTTCACAGCTCTACAGGACTGCTGTAGCCATTTCCATAAGCAAAGGGGTTTCTAATTTATGAATACTATGGTAGCAGTTGAAATGGTTCAACAGTGCAAAGTAGTAGTTTGTGAAAATGAGATTGTCTTTAAAAAAGCCCCAGCACAGTGTCCATGAGAGCTCTGGGCTGATCCATCCAGAAATGGGCTAAGTGTTTGTATAATTATTGCTACTGAATGAGAATATAATCACCAATTCTATGGCAGAACAACTGTATGTCTTGAAATAACATCAGCAGAAGTAGTCTGAAATGCTTTATGTCAGGAAATAAATACATATTCCTATTGTATCATTTCTAATTGTAATGCAAGGCTGAATCCTAATTTAATTCTTAATATGGAGAAACAATGTTTGCATCTTAGGTCAATCTTTTTTTCCTCCCCTTTCACACAGGAATTCTGGAAAGCAACAGACTGAAAATTGTAAAGGTTAAAACAATTAACCAGACAATTGGGAATGTTACATACCATGCTGCAGATTTGCCAATCTGGTGGCAGATTCCTCAATATGTGCTGATTGGATTCAGTGAAATATTTGCAAGTATAGCAGGTAAGAATCTGTGTGTGCTTAAATCTGCTTTTGTATCTATCATAAATGATGGAATCTTAGAAAATAAATACTTCTGAAATCATTACAAAAGAGCTCTGATGTTCCCAAATACATTTGCATACAACAGTGCTCAATTTAAGTGGCAAAGCTCACCACTGTATTGCACATTGGAGGCCTGGCTATTTGAAACTATGCTTTCAAAACTGAATTTCAAGCAAATGCTGAACCTGAGGCTCATCCACTCAGACTGGCCATACCCAGAGCTCTTCTCTTGGACTGCTGGTGGCACAGCTCCTCTTTCACTTCCCCTGGGCAAGGGCACTTTCATTCCTGGGCCATCACAGCAGGCTGCAGTGAGCTCTCTGCTTCTGGAGATGTGGCTGGCCCTGGCCCCAGCTCTCACATGGCCCATTTGTTCCCCTCCTCGTGGAGCAGAGAACTTCTGCTCCAGCAGGTTTCTGGTTACTCGTGTGCTGCTGTCATCACACTGGTTAGGAAATAAAATGAGGTGCTTGCATTGCTTGGCAAGGAGAATAACAGTGGGGTTTGTTGTTTGTTCCTGGCTACTCATTTGCTGTCCATCTCATTGTGTGTGTGTGGTACCTGTGACAAATGCTAACACACAAAAATCTGAAGATAAAATCTTGCCTGATTCAGTTAGTTACTAAAACTAAGGCTGTATTTAGCATTTTTATCCAAATAATAAAATGAATTACTTGTAGTCAGTTTAGTGATGGTGCCACTTAAATCCTAGCTCAGCTAAACAGATGACTTACAGAAACACAAGTGTTCATGGAAATTAAACCAGTTTCTTCCCTCTTACACAATCTTGTTTCTCCATCAGGTACTATTAATAGTTTGTAGGTGTTTGCAAGGAAAAAATAGCAAACCTGTCTGTAGGCTGTGGAAAGGTCTTGAAGCACTTTCTGTTTGCTGAACTCCAAGCTGAGAGGACTTCAGTGGAGTTCCTTGTGAGACGTCTTTAAGGCTTGCACAATTCTTATGTGAATATTCTGCTCCTTCTTGTGTGAATATTCTGCACTGCTGGGTCTGTACCAACAGCATTATAACTTCAAAAACTCTTGGTCAGTGTTTGAAAAAAGTGTACCAGAAATTCTGTGCAGAGCTTAATTGCATTGTTAGTGCACTTTCATTGGATTTTTTTTCTTTTACAAAGCCTCTTTCCGGCCTTCTGGTTGTTATCTGAACATAATATTATTAAGAAGGCCTCTCAAGACTCAGAGTTTACTTTACCAATTCAATATTAAACTTGATAAAGGCATCTACTATGCTATAAAATTCAGGCTTAAAATAAGCAAAGTGTTACTGGTTACAAAACCATAATGATGTGGAGATGTTTGTTGTGAGCAAAAAGGGACTAAATAGCCCAAGAGCTGAAACATACCTCTGTTTTTCTGTTTACTGTAAAACTAAGCATATTCTTATTAAGCCACATTAGTTACACTTGAGGTACCTTTAAAAAGATGACACACATTGCATTAATCTTTTGTATTATTCTGTCAATCCTCCTAAAGCAGCCTTGTCTAACTGGGAATTGTAATCTCACATGACAACACCAGTGAGGGGCTTTAATTTCAGAAGTGCTTGTTTGCAGGAGCATGAAATCATCATCAATGGCTGCCAGCAGCCAAAGGAGCTCTGAAGGCAAAGGAAAGATTTTATATTCTTTATGCCAGATTAAATATTAGCGTTGCTGCAAAAGTAATTCAAATTTAGAAATGTACCTTATTTTGTTGCAAAAAGTGCAGGGTTACACTCATTTTGGTTTTTGTTCTGAGTCTTAAGTCTTTTTCCAGCTGGAACGGTCAGATCCAGTGTACCTGTAAAATGAACAAGAAAAGAAAGAGTCCAGATCTTTTCACGGGTTACCCCTGGGCTTAACTTGTACAAAACAACCAAAGCCTGGTGACCAAGGTGTGGCTGAGGCTCAGGAGCCCTGTGGCAGCTCTGAGAACTTAACCAGAAGTCACAAACAAGCTGCTGTGTGCTGAATAGTCTGCTTGTTTTTTCTTAAAGTGCAGTTGGACAGGAAAATAGTGCTTGGAAAATCAGAATTGTTCTATCGGTGGCAGAGCCTAGGAAACAGAGGCACTGTTAATTCTGGAAATAAATTCTGCCCCCTGCCCTGCCCGTTGGCAGCTGTGTCTGTCCCAGTCTCTGGTTGTGGTTTGAGTTTGGGGAAGCCCCACAGCTGAGTTTTGGTTCCTGCTGCCATGCCATGCCATGCCATGCCATGCCATGCCATGCCATGCCATGCCATGCCATGCCATGCCATGCCATGCCATGCCATGCCATCCCATCCCATCCCATCCCATCCCATCCCATTCCAGTGCCAGGAGGCTGCAGTGGGAGCACTGAGAGCACCCAGCTCTGCTTCTTTCCAAAATCAAAGCTCCTCCCTGGCAGGCTGGCCTGTCTACCTTGAAGCTCATCCTTTTCTGGAAAAGAAATGCCCCTGGATTTCTGTGAAAGCCTGCCTGGAGAAGTCAGGCAGCAGTGGTGCTGGAAATAAAGCATGCCTTTATTATGCCAGACATGAGAGTTATGCAATTTCAGCTCTGTAATGCTCTCCTTGCAAAGAAAAATGTTCGATGAGGTAGCATTAATTCCCAGTATGAGCAGAGTGTTTTGAAACAAGCATTTCACCTGTCAGGAAAAGCTCTGCACGGAATGTATTTGATTGTCTCTGGTGAATAATCCCATTTGATTTTTGACAGGAGTATTATTCTAAAAAGGAGAGTTAATCATGGGCATTAATCTTTGTGTGGCAGAACCTAACCCAGTGCGTGCTCTTGGTACACAAATTCAGTAGCACAGATTTGCAGATGGATGGTCACTGGTACATTTTTCTTGGGTTTATTGGTTGAAATTTGAGTAAAGACAGCTGAAAATTCAAGCCCTATTCTTACAAATCTTAAAAAGAATTGCTTGGTAGCAAGCAATGAACTCAGAGAATTCTAGATCAAAAGTAAATTAAATTAAAATAATTACTGGCTTTCCAGTTCCAGTTAATTTCTCTGTCTGCACATTCAGAGACAGACACTGAGGCTGTAAGAAATAAATGCTCATGGCTAATGCAAGAGGGACTTTTTTCCTTGTCCTGCATTCACTGCCCAGCAGCCAGGGAACAGGAGATGGGGAACGTGGAATTGTCAGGTTTGAGCTAGTTTAATGCATTTCTTTGAGGAAAATTTTACACAGAAAAAGGAATATGTTGGTTGAGAAGATTTCTTGCTTTTAGACATGGAATATAAATAAGATCAAAGTCTGTGTCTCAACACTGGGTTGATACATTGATGACCTTTAAGAGGATTCATAAAGCAATTAAAAGGCCCTGGAACTGCTAAAGATTCATTGCACACCTGTGGCTTCTAGAACACTTCTAGATCAATCTGTTCTTATTTCTTACATATTCTAATAGCATTTTTTCATCTTGTACTACAGGTCTAGAATTTGCATATTCAGCTGCTCCCAAATCCATGCAGAGTGCCATCATGGGGCTGTTCTTTTTCTTCTCGGGGATTGGCTCGTTTGTTGGCTCTGGACTGTTGGCACTGGTGTCTATTAAAGAAATTGGCTGGATGAGTAATCACACAGATTTTGGTAAGTGTGTTTTTCAGTGTGCTCATGCACTGGAAAGTAGAAGTTTCAGTTAAGCATCAAGGACATGGCATTGTTGAGTTTTAACACTGTTATTAAATTCAAAATGTTAATTTTTCTACTGTTCTGTTAGAGTTTCATTTTGCATCTAAGTATGAAATAATGTGACTGTGCAAAATAATTCACTGCCCTCATGAAAGCATGAGGAACACCTCTGTAGAGCCTCAGTTACTTGCTCAGCTGTTACTGCATTTCATCACTAGAAATTACAAATGTTTTCATTTCAGTAAAAAATATTTAAATTACGTGCAGCAGAAGAATATATTTGGTATAAAGTACTGAAATTGCTTTCTGTGGTTATGGGGAGTAAAATGTAACCATTTCTCTCCAAGTGATTATTCAGCTTCCTCATTTCAAGTGACTTCATTGAAATTACCATGAGTTAATTCTGCACTTGTGTCTGCTGGCTATTTATACTCCTAAAGTTCAACAGAGTTTGAGTTGCCAGTGGAGGTTAAAAATAATTCCTGGCACCAGTAGGTGGCACCTTGGGAATTTCAGAAAACCCTCCCATCCTCAGTGGGCTAATTAGTTCAACCAGGGGGAGTATGAACAGTTCTTAAAATGTCTGCTAGACCTGCTGTGTGTACGTGGCTTAAAATTGCAGCCTAAACTTTCAGTTTGGTCCAAGAGAATTTGCATTTCAACTGGATTTTCAAATCTACCAAAGAGCAATGGTGTCTGACTCCTCCATGTGCCCAAGTTGGCATCTGTGGCTTGTAAGTTGTTCTTTAAAAGCTGCAGAAGAAAACAAGCAGCCTGACCCTTATGGAAGTGTCCTCCCCAAAGGAATTTTTCATCCCACCGAGTCTTCTTTTCCCCAGTCAATTTCAAAATTGGAAAAGGAGCCTATTCTGCAATACAGAGGTCATTCAGCTGATCAGAGCTCAGCAGGGAATAAGAATTCCACACAAATAACGAAGGTGCTTCTTCAGCCCCTTGCCCTTGCTCTCTGAAGCAGCTGATGAGGAGACGCTGCCAAATCTTCTCTCTGGGAAACATTTGGGCTGTGCTGCATCTCCCAGAGGTGGCCAGCACGGGAAGGGGCTGCCTTCAGCCCCGCTGGCCAAGGTGAGCAGGCTGCCCAGCTCAGGTGGGGATGCCTTTCCCAGCAGGGACACACTGGCAGGGCTGCCTGGGGGACTGCAGCTGCAGCATCCACAGCAGCCCTGCTGCAGCCCTGAGTAACTTTCTAACTCCATCCTCAGTGGTGCAGCATCACTGAAAGTTACCACTTCTGAAAGAGCCACTCCTGAACTGTGCCTGGCTTTTCCAGGGTAGGAATTGCAAGGGGTCGGTCAAGGAATGACTGGGAGCTTCTTCATGAGGTGCTCTGTAATGACTGTAAGCATATGCCCTAAATTTCCATTTCTGCCACCTCATGACATCACTGGGGGTGACTGCCTGCCTCCAAAACCTCCCGAGGAAGTTCCCTCTCTGACAGCACTTCAGGGCTGGTGGCTGCCATTGAATTGACTTGTTTCTCCCACCAAAACTAAGATTTCATGGGCTTAATATCCCATCTCATAAAGGATAATTACTACTCTTTAAACACATCTGCTCTTGAAATGGAGATTCACATCTATATTGTATTTTAAGTGTCAAGGAAAGGCTCAGTTTAATTTTATTGCATTTTATGATAAGTTCATTTAATTGAATCTTAAGTTTCAGTAATTAAGTAATTTAATCTGAACGTTTATAGGCTTGCTGCAGGAACAGCTGGTTAGGGTCCATGTACACGTCACTATTTGAGTCTCTGCAACACATCTGATAATTGTAATGGTCCAGTTGGCTGTGGTGTGCTGGAAATGAGCCACAATATATTCTTGGAAATCCAGCAGGAGTTGGGCACGCTTCCTAACAGAGGAATGATTTAGCAGTGAGCTTTCTTCATTTAACATTGTTCAATGCCCAAAGCAGTCATTTGTGACAACTTAGAGGGAGCATCACAGGTGAACTGAACCACAAAGAAGTCACCTATGTTTTCATGAACTCTAAACTTTGTTGCCAAAAAAGGCTGGGAAACAATTGCAGTAATGGCTTTTTTTAATATCTGTGGAGTTTCCAACTTCTTCCTTTACAGCATTCATTTTTTGGTTATGTTATTTTCTTTTGATTTGATCTAAGGCATTGGAGGAAAAATAAAACATTCCTTATGCTGCGCACATCTTCCTCAGCAGTGCCAGCCTTTGCTGTGGATAATTAAAAATGAGCTGTGCTTTGGTTTGCTTCTGCAGAAAAGTTCACCACTTACACTTGACCAGATTTCACGTTTTTGTTTGTATCATCTTAGTTAATGCTTTCTTCCTCCCCAATTCTTTCTAGGTAACATTAATGGCTGCCAACTGAACTATTACTTCTTTCTGCTGGCTGCTATCCAAGGAGCCACCCTGCTGCTTTTCCTGATCGTTTCTGTCAAGTACGAGCACCACAAGTCGAAGGCGAGCGAGGCGGCTGCCAACGGGAGGCTGTGAGCCCTGGCACGGGCAGCCCGTGCCAGCAGCAGCAGGGAAGGGGCAGGGGGAGCTCCGGCTGCCCAGGGACCCTGTGCCACGGGAAGTGCCTTATGGCAGGGCTGCTCCTGCACGGCGTCCTGGCACAGCACAGCAGCCTGCCGTGAGCGCGCCGCAGCGCTCCAGTGCTCTCTGCTCCTGGGGACATGTTCCCTGAGCTGGCACTGCTGCAAGGGCTGCAGCACCTCCTGCAGCACCTCCTGCAAGGGCTGCAGCAACTCCTACAGCAACTCCTGCAAGGGCTGCAGCAACTCCTGCAGCACCTCCTGCAAGGGCTGCAGCAACTCCTGCAAGGGGCTGCAGCAACTCCTACAGCAACTCCTGCAGCAACTCCTGCAAGGGCTGCAGCAACTCCTGCAGCAACTCCTGCAAGGGCTGCAGCAACTCCTGCAAGGGCTGCAGCAACTCCTGCAGCAACTCCTGCAAGGGGGGTGCAGCACCTCCTGCAAGGGGTGCAGCAACTCCTACAGCAACTCGTGCAAGGGGTGCAGCAAGTCCTGCAGGTGGGGTGCAGGGCCCCACCCGGGCTCTCTGACCCGCTCTGATCCACGGAAACGCTCGGCTGGCCAAGCCGACCCCGAGGACACAGCACAGAAACCTTCGACAGGAGCCTCAAGCAGTGCATGGCTGTTCAGTGCTGGGAGTCATTTGGGGGTGAGAAACAAATTCAATTACAAATTAGCACAGCTTAAATTTTATAATTGACCTGTTACTGACAGCGCAGCAAGGATTTCAGTCCAGGCTTGCAGTCAGGAGGATCCAGGACTGAACCCCAAACCCCAGGAGCTGCTCAGACAGCTGCTGCAGATTGGTGCACAGTTAACACTTGTTGGGATTGAAGCTGTTTGACTGCAGCGGTGCTTTTATTTTTATTTTTGAGACTGCATTAGATGTGTTAGGACAACACCCACCTTTGGACAAGGCCTCGTTCAGTCTAACACTGTTACTCCCCCAAGGACTATTCCAAATATTTGCAGGAAGCAAAGCGAGGTGGAATTCTGAGCAGATCAATGCACAGTAACCATTTAGCAGCCTTTAGCCAGGTCCTTCAGTCTTGTCTTACTTTTAGCTAACGTGCTCCAGGGTTTGGATCTTTCAGCAATACATTACCCCAGCAGAGCAAATGGCTTTATATTCAGCCTCTTGAATTTTAATGATTCTAACTGTACTTCAGAGTGTGTGCAGACTGGTATGGAAGGTGCAAGGAATTATGGAGAAAGAAAATAAAACTTTTTTATTAATGTGTTGAATTTTTATAGTTTCCTTTGTCTGCAGTTCTGTTGTTTAAAATGTCCTTATTTTGTACATGGACATCTTTTTAATGAGTTTACAAAATAAAATGAACCTCCATGCTGTGACTTCTGACCCTTTGTTTCTAGGTGAATAAAATTATACAGTGAAGAACTGTAGAAATAATTAGTATTGCAGGCTAATTACAGCCTCCCCAGGCTCTAACCAGGGATGGAGGAGGGTGCCTGTGTTTTATTTGAGATTAGAATGTGGGTACATTGCTCATATAATGGTGGATATTTCCAGAGTACAGCAAAACCTGGCTTTCCTACCTTTGTATTTATATGGAATATCCCTCCTCAGAAAGGGGAGCTTTTTTCATCTGTTCTGCTTATGTAAACCTCCAGCATAAGTTCAATTACAGCAGTTTAGACATCCATCTATTCCCCTATTTCCCTCAAAAGTCTGTAGTCACCTCTGAGTTGGTTTCATTTGTGTATTTTTGGTGTTAACAGAAGTTGCTCAGGGCTGACATGAGACAAGCTTGCTCAGCCTAACAATAAACTGCTGTTAGAAGCTGCACAGAGTTCTTAATTTCCAAAAAAGCAATTTCAAACACCAAATCTTATCCCAGTGATTTTGTTTCTATGCAGAGCAAGTTCTGCCACTGCAGCAAAGCCCTCTGGGGAAGCAGATTAGAAGAGTTTCCATTTGAGCAGGCAGTGGTTTGAGACAGATTCATTTCTGAGCAAGAGAGAATTTGTGAGCCAGCAGGGCTGGTGGAACAATGCACATACCTGAGAGCTGCTGCCTGCTGGGCCCGCTGCAAGGAGGTGCCTGCAGGGAGAGAAAGGAGGTGAGACCCAAGGGCAGCAGCCATTGAACACAAAATGCCATTCTTTGGGTATTTTTCTACTTCCTTACACATATTTCTCATTGAACCTGCTTCCTTTATCAGGGCACCCTGCAGAGTTCTGCTCCAAATACACCCAGAACACTCAGGGATGTCCTCCAGTGGAGGGAATTCTGTGCCCAGCTGAGCTGGGACTGCAGCTGTGGGACAGAGGGACCACAGCCAGGCCCTGGCACTGTCCCCAGCACAAAACAGCATATTTCACTTGTTAGCAAGCCCAAAGCAGCACATTTCACCCAAATCCAAGTGGATTTCTGCCCTGTTAGACTTTCACTCTGTCCCAGTGAGCCTGGGCCACCTGCTCCTGGTGACCTGGCTTTGGCAGGGCTTGCACTGCACGAGCTGCAGAGCCCCTGCAGCCCCAAGAGTCAACCTCTCAATCTTCAAGGCATTTCACTTCCTTGCTGATCCATCCCATCCCACCTCAGGGCAGTTTTCTCCTGGCTGTGGTCTCAGGGCAGCCAAAGGTTCAGGTTCTGTCTGCTGCAGCCATGGGAACTGGTTAATGCCACGTGCCAGCACCACTGGCTGTGGCACATTTAACTTATCAGAACTGATAATTTATCCTAATGACAAATGGCTTCAGTGCCAGGCCCGATGCTCCACGAGCAGCTCTGCAAGCTGAGCATCTGGGAGGAACAGGATCTGCTCAGCTGGGAGCAGAGGCTCCGGGCAGGGGATGCTCAGGGGAGAGGCTTCCCGTTAATTGACTGCACATTTCAGAACTTTGTCAAACATATTGAAAGTCTAGAGATGCCCTAATTCCTGTTTCAACAGACCTGAATCTCTCTAGTTTAACCTTTACACCTTTCTCCTTTCCTGTCCCACTCATGGTGCAGTGATTCACACCAGACACAGCCACAAACCCAGGGCAAAGCCTGGCAGTGCTGCTAATGCAGGCTGTCAAAAGTTCAGTAATTCCAAAAATTATATTACACATGTGCACAACCCTCATCATTTCTAAATTCCAGCTCATCAAATTGATGAGCTTTAACGGGATGGAATTGTTCTGTGTGATACAAAACTGCCCAAATTCAAGTCCTTATAAAAGCACGAAGCACTATGATAATTTAAAGTGGGCTTTTCAAAGCACTCTCATGGTGCTGGAGCACTTCAAATATTTTTACAAGGATGTCAAAGCAGAATATGGTCAAATAGCCTTTTGAAGTAAAAGCAGCAGACATCAAAACATACTCCCCAGGCTGAGAAAACCACTTGGAGTGTGTTGAAAAGTAAAAATCCCAGCTCATCTCCAGCTTACAGCTTCCTGAAGCAGAAGCCTGTTTGCTGATGGAGCTAAAAGCTGATGGAGTTTGGCCCCTGTGGATGCAGGAGCAGGTTCAGCTCCTGTAAATATCCACACCCAGAGCAGCTGGCTGCCACTGGGGGACCCAGCCCCAAAATCTGCACTGGTGTGTGCCCACCTGGGGCGTGCCAGCCTGGGCAGCAGCAGAGCAGCTCTGAGAGACTTCACAGGGTTTCTCAGCAGTGAGTAAATGCTGGACCAGCAGCCTGATGTTGGTGGGGTTTGGAGAAGATGGCTAATTTGGGGTACAAATTCACCTTGTTTGGTTTTCGCAGATATGAGTAAGACTTGACAGGAGCTGCTTCCAGTGACATTTGTGCTACAGAACTACAGAATGTAGTAGGAAAATATGCCACGATAACATCCCCCTTCAATTTCCTCTTTAATTTTTGGTACAATAGCTGGATTTTTCTCCTGCCTTCTGGAGAGGGGACTAATGCATCCCTGAAGTTAATAAAATGATATGGGGTCATTTTTATTGAAAGAAAGTTAAACATCTGCTGTGTCTATTGCAGTATATTAAACAATATTTTATTATTCTCACTTCCCTGACATGATTCATGTCCCTGGCAGGCACAGAGGCCTATTGTTTGCTTTCCATATACACGTAGCAATTTAAAATGTGCCTGTGAAATAAAATCTAGAGATAAAGGCCAGCTGCAGGCCCAGAGCAGTCAGGGACAGGGGTGCTGGTGGTCCCTGCCTGCCCTGGGTGTGCCCGGCAGAGGCACAGGAGCCCCCAGAGCAGGGGGTGCTGAGCTCATGCCCTTCCCCTGCAGCCTGGGTGAGGCTGCAGCAGTTTTGGGAACGCTTCCCATCCACTCTGGGGCAGCACAGGGGCAAAAGGGAGGCCGAAGCATCTTTTGAGTCATTTTTGGTGCAGTTCTGCTGGAGGCTGGGAGCCCAGGACAGCAGAAAATTAACACACAGCAGCTGACATGAACATTTCCCTCTGCCCACCCCGGTGTGCCCGCAGTGCCCCTGAGCTGCAGCAGCATGGCAGGGAGCTGGCAGCAGCCAGGCTGGGCT